CTGGAGGAATTCATAGTCTTTGCGGACTCCTTCACAGAGTACTCTGATGGAATCATGATGTTGTCAGAGGGTTCTAACAGTCACAAGATCAATTTTATAGGATTATACAAATCTGAGAGGGTTAGAACCCATTAGGTCTAAAGAGATATCATAGGATGATCATAGAATGACAAGGCTTTATTGGACTAAAAGCCAAATTTAATTTTAGGGTAAAGCTATACAAGTTTTATTGAGTAATACGTTTTATTGTAATCTGAAATAATTTACAGTAATCGCATCAGATAAAAAATAATCGTATTTGGCTAGCAGACTACTAGCCATCATTATTTCACAGTTAGAAGGGTCTCCTCCAGCAGCATAATGGGGTTGGAACCGTGTCACTATAAAGCCCCTCACATAGCATTGGCAGTATTATCACACTGCAGTCTCATAATATGGTAATGATGGGGCTTTACCAGCCTGGAGGCTGGCTTCATTACAGTAGTATAACACATCAAAGACTCACTGCTCTCTGACTGGCTTTATTAATAGAAACTCCCCCAAAACACACATAGGGGAAATGAGAGGAAAAATAAGTCTAAATCATTTAACATTACACGAGCAGGGAGGTTTACAGGCCAAGATCAACAGGCTGCAGCGATGACTCTCAGTTATACAGTAGCAGCCATTGCTCGTATATATCGCAAGGCATTCATTCTGGGACCATAAATGTGGCTTTCAATTTGAATGCAAAAGTGTATTGATCGGAATGAAATTCCTCCAGTATGACTGGCCTGTCAGATGATGCTTTATGAAAAACTGGTCCAATTCTAATTCAGGAAAGTCATGTCCTGATGGATTGAACTATGTGATACTACAGGAATTTTGCGGTGTTTGAATAGTGTGATTGGATCGGATGCCGTGGTAAGAGGCTCATGGATAAAACTATAGTGAAAATGGACTAAAATCTATCATAGGAATGGCTCAGATGTATTTATGGAAGAGGAAGCCAGTACTGAATGTAAACAAAAACAACCCTTCATAGAGTAGTTTGTCCGCAACGCTGGGAAAAACAGGATGCATGTCAATTCATTCATTCCGAGAATTCCCTCTGGGATGCTTTCTGTGACTGCTATTTTAGCTTGAATCAAATCTGCGAAAATGTACTATCATACTTACAGACCAGAGGGCCAGATTACAATTAGGATAGACCCGGGAAGGAATCAAGTGATGTAATTACACTGTGTGCCACAGAGACATGTCCTCATCCTCCCAATAAGATGATGTTAAAGCACATTTCCATTTGTATTTTCTTACAGTATAGATTACAGGGATTACAAACTGTTTATATGGCAAAGCCAAATATATAAACAAACAACATACCAATACTGTATGGTTTTGACAATGGTTTTGATTTGTCTACAGCAAGAGACGACTTGACTGAGCTACTGTATCTGAGAAACCACAAACACTTTGGTCAAAAGCAGAGGACCTTACACCTTGGCAAGGTACCAAATACTAATGCAGTACTTTACAGTGAGGGAAAAAAGTATTTGATCCCCTGCTGATTTTGTACGTTTGCCCACTGACAAAGACATGATCAGTCTATGATTTGAATGGTAGGTTTATTTGAACAGTGAGAGACAGAATAACAACAAAAAAATCCAGAATAATGCATGTCAAAAATGTTATAAATTGATTTGCATTTTAATGAGGGAAATAAGTATTTGACCCCTCTGCAAAACATGACTTAGTACTTGGTGGCAAAACCCTTGTTGGCAATCACAGAGGTCAGACGTTTCTTGTAGTTGGCCACCAGGTTTGCACACATCTCAGGAGGGATTTTGTCCCACTCCTCTTTGCAGATCTTCTCCAAGTCATTAAGGTTTCGAGCCTGACGTTTGGCAACTCGAACCTTCAGCTCCCTCCACAGATTTTCTATGGGATTAAGGTCTGGAGACTGGCTAGGCCACTCCAGGACCTTAATGTGCTTCTTCTTGAGCCACTCCTTTGTTGCCTTGGCTGTGTGTTTTGGGTCATTGTCATGCTGGAATACCCATCCACTACCCATTTTCAATGCCCTGGCTGAGGGAAGGAGGTTCTCACCCAAGATTTGACGGTACATGGCCCCGTCCATCGTCCCTTTGATGCGGTGAAGTTGTTCTGTCCCCTTAGCAGAAAAACACCCCCAAAGCATAATGTTTCCACCTCCATGTTTGACGGTGGGGATGGTGTTCTTGGGGTCATAGGCAGCATTCCTCCTCCTCCAAACACAGCGAGTTGAGTTGATGCCAAAGATCTTGATTTTGGTCTCATCTGACCACAAGATCCTCCCGTGTAGTTCTGAGTCCCTTTAAGAGTGTGCTCCTAATCTCAGCTCGTTACCTGTATAAAAGACACCTGGGAGCCAGAAATCTTTCTGATTGAGAGGGGGTCAAATACTTATTTCCCTCATTAAAATGCAAATCAATTTATAACATTTTTGACGTGCATTTTTCTGGATTTTTATGTTGTTATTCTGTCTCTCACTGTTCAAATAAACCTAGCATTAAAATTATAGACTGATCATTTCTTTGTCAGTGGGCAAATGTACAAAATCAGCAGGGGATCAAATACTTTTTTCCCCTCACTGTATGTTCTTTCTAAAATAAAATAAAAACACTCATCCCCTGCCCCATGGATTATTGACAGTGAAAGTGAAGCTTTGGGAAATTCTTTCTCTAGTCCCCACTGCAAAGGGTACAGTACAGACTACAGGGCTACAAAATGCAGCAACTCATTTTGATGACTCCAAACATTCAGAACTACAGTAGGGGAGAAGCATCCATCTGTCTATATGCCCACTTATCACCTACCCAACCATATACATCCATAGACTTTGAGCAGGGATATAATTATTTTCGCCAAAGCACTTTGGTCTCATTTAAGACATGGAAGTAGGCAATCAGAGCTCATTTAGGGTTAGATGTATGAGCTATGAGATATGTAATCCTCTCAGAGGCCTAATGTCAACAATGCTCCCCATCTAGGAGACAAGTCTACAGGCTACATCACAGATCAAGGCATGGGGTTTTACTTGATCTTCTTTTTGCTCATTCTGCAATGAGTAAGCTAATGAGATACTCGAAAGAAGCCAACCATAACTGATATTTAGACAATTCAGCATCAGCCAACCGATATAAACTGTATCTATAAACTACAGATAACAAACCTGAATGTCAATTTCTGGCTAAATTCATGGGCTCTAAGATCGAAGGAAAATTGCCATTTATAACGGTAAATGCTGCATTGAAGAACGATGCCAAAATCATTGGCTGAAACACCACAAATCCGATGTTACCCCTTCGCGGTAACAACGTTTGAGATAATGATTTCTGTTTTTATACATTCCATCTGATATCTGGGGATAAGGATCGAAACAATAGTGCGTGAAATGCATAATGCCATCTCTCGGGTCCATGGCAAAATAAGATATGTCACAGGTAGGCCCTACGTTATGGAAGTGATGCAGGGATGGACTCAAGAGAGCATGGGGGGTCGGCAACATAGTAAAGATTTACACAATAACGGAGGCGGTGCATTCCAGGTTATATATACACATTGCTATAAGAAGGCGCACGTAAGCATGATATGGAGAACAAAGCATCTATCGTTTATGTAATATGTTATCACAAATATGTCTACTGTATATGGAGACAGTAGCCAACGTAAACGAAAGCTGTAGGGTGAACATCCAATTGACGCAATCATTGAAAATATAATGAAAATGCCAAATAGCCAATTATCGCCGCAATTCGAGCCATGCCAAATAGGTTCACGCATTTCTAATTAAATAACACGACATTGTTCATGTCCAGCGCACAAACACATCTGTGAAGGATGGCGCAATCGTCAGCAGGTCAATGAAAATAAGAGACTGTGACAAGGTCAGCAGCCTATTAAAAATAAAGACACCATTTATGACAAAGAAAATATGCCAGAATAAAGAACAAGCTCCACCACCTTTTAAGTGATCTTGTTTCCCCGCAAATCCGCCTTGAAGTTGCGGGCGGCGCCTTGTATCTCCAATCTACAGCTCTTCGACCCTCTTTGTGTTGCTGATGCTGCGGGTGCTCGCGACAGACAAGCACGCATGGCCAAGCTTACAGACCGCTCTGAAGAGAAACAGAGTCCCGCACAGTCGCACGCACGTGAGGCGGGAGGGTGTGGCTGGCGGAGGCTGCGCTTGGCACAAACATCACCCAACGTCTACAAGCGATCTCCTTCCTCTAGGCTACGATGCACTCTCCTGTTTGTCGAAAGTCGTTGCCTAGCCTAGGCCTATATAGTATATGTTCACACAATAGCGTTGGCTATTGATCTAGTATAAATAATGTCTGAATAGGCATAGTATGTCTTTGATTCGATTTTATTCGGAGTGGAGGTGCTTGTTTGTCATTGACAGTCTTCACGGTCTGTCACAGTGAAGTGGCCTATCACATTCTGTCTTTGAAAATGATTAGTATTGAAAATCTCACTTCAATAAGTAATGGACCTCAAATATTGGGCTAAAATCTGATGTATGGGGGACATACGTATTGACACCTTTATTGTTCGTTGGGTGTGGGGCAGGACTGGCATGACTGACTGCTTTGTGCTGTGTGCATCTTGAGCCAGCCCCTGCAAAAGGAATCAGCGGAATATATATATGTTTTTACTTGTAATGAGTGGGGTGCTTCAACAATTCATGAAGCATAAAGGCCTCCACAGTTGGAGACTATTCCAATGATTTAGCACCACCCTAAGAAATAGGCCTTAAGTCAAAAAAATCAATAATGTAATGTGCAAAACTGCTGCTGGAAAGACAGACGTTCATAATGCAGTCAGCTAGTTCCAACTGTAGGTAGGCTGGTCTTCCAGTAGGTGTCGGCATATGATACGTAAAGTCCTTCCCCGATCCCTCCCAGACCCAGCAGAACAAAATATACTCCACACAACTACAGCTCCCACAATCCCCTCTGATTTACGCTTTCTTCTTTTTGCAGGAACAGGAGTAGTTTTGGTAGTAGCAGCCGATATTATGTGTACGTGGTAGTTTAAACTGTTTTCTCCTCAATAAATCAACATATCAGATACCCGACGGACATCATTCAGAGACCGACGATGCCTCCGCGAAACCAAGATTTCGGACTGAAAAAGTCTGGAGGGGCCAGGAGCGGGTCCGTGATTAACTTCAGACAAACTGTTAACTCCGGCTCTTTACGCCGCAGCTCTGCTGTCTTGCCATCGGTGCTGACGTTTGCTGTGATCGTGGCGTCCGGGGGCCTTCTGCTCATGATAGAGAAAGGAATGCTGAATAGTATGGAGACACCACCACCTCGGGGATACAGCAAGAGGTCAGGCTACCTCAGACAAACCCGACATCTTGAACCAGCTGTGGACGCAGAATCCCAGGTAAACGGAAGCCAGTCTGTAAGATTCCCAGTAGCCTACCACTTGATTTGGCGCGATATGATTTGGAAGAATATGACTTTAAAATACCTTAGTTGGCCTACAGATGTATTCATTTCCAAATTACTTATTATTACTCCATTATTCATGTTTTTGTCACAGGATACTTTGTGTAAACAAATAATGTAGGCTATTACTTCAACATCATGTAAAAAAAAAAAAGTACATGTTGCAATCTCGTCATGAAATGTTAGGCCTTGCTTGAGCACTACAGATATTTAATAGAAATCAAATGCTATTTGCCCATGAAAATGTCATGGGATGCATTTGCTACATCGTTTACATTTTCTTAGTGGTCTACTCTGATGGAATACATATCATAACATGCTGTGTAGGAATTAGATTGACTCCAGTGATATTGTATTATTATTTTGTAAGTCTTACGTAATACTAGTTTATGTATTTTTTCTTTTCTTTTACATCTTCCCCAAACCCCATTCAGATTCTCCAGGAGATCCGTAACCGCACCATCCGGACCATGTGTGGTCAGAAGAACATGCCCCACAGTGTGTGGTCCCTGAGCCCCCTGCAAAGGAAAACCCTGCTGCAGCACATCCTGGTGAACGACGAGCACCGCTTCCTCTACTGCTATGTCCCCAAGGTGGCCTGCTCCAACTGGAAGAGGGTTCTGAAGGTCCTGAGTGGGGCTCTAGAGAATGTGGATGTCAACATTAAGATGAACCACAAGAGTGACCTGCTCTTCCTGTCCTCCCTGAAGCCTGAGGAGATCCGCTACAGGCTGAAACACTACTTCAAGTTCATGTTTGTCAGGGAACCTATGGAACGCCTGCTCTCCGCTTACAGGAACAAGTTTGGGGAGATCAAGGCATACCAGGAGAAGTACGGTGCTGAGATCATCAGGCGCTACAGAAAGGGCCATGCCAAGGATACAGCAGTGGCTGGGGATGATGTGACCTTTGCTGAGTTTGTGCGCTATCTGCTGGATGAGGATGTGGACCGCATGAATGAGCACTGGATGCCCATCTACAACCTGTGCCAGCCATGTGCCGTGTCCTATGACTTCATTGGCTCCTATGAGCATCTGGAGAGTGATGCGGACTATGTGCTACAACGTATTAGTGCACCTCCACATGTCCACTTCCCTGAGAGACAGACGTGGTACAAGCCTGTCACCAAGGAGACGCTGCACTATTACCTGTGCAGTCTGCCTCAGAAGCTTCTCAGGGAACTCCTGCCCAAGTACATTCTAGACTTTTCCCTGTTTACTTACCCCCTCCCCAACACAACCACTGAATACTGCAGACATTAACTGCAAGATGGTATTTTATACTTGAAAATTATTATTTTTATACAGTATCTTGTTACACATTCGCCATTTATTTTTTATTCCGAGGGAACAAGCAGTATTTTGATATGTTACTTTTTACATTAGATTTGTTACAGCATTGGGAAACATGAATGTGTTTGAGTATATGCATAAAACCACAAACTTGAAAGGAATTGTATTTTAGAAGGAAAGTGGTAATGTTACTGAATCAAATCAATTAGTTTCCATGCATTCCACTTAAACACTAAGAAATTACTCAACTGTTACTGTCCAATTGCTCTAATAACTGTACAGTCCATCTGGGCTTCAACTCAACATTGACCCAACTGTCAGCTAAGTATTAAAGCCCCGATAACACATTTGTATTTATATTTTGTAAATACATTTTCCTCTACACTTTTATGGGCATTTCTTATGGGTAATTTAAAGGCTGTTGTGTTGTCTCTGATGTTAGGTACAGATGAGTGCAGTGAATTAATTTTGTACAAAACTTTATTTGAAGGAATAAGTTATTAATTTAGGCATAATGGGAATAATATGTAACATTAAACACGTAAAAATACCACAGAACACAAAAGCTGAACTAATGAACTACTCTCCTATCAGTGGTCTAATAACAAAGTCCTAACCAAGCTCAGATTCTTATAAATACATTTGGTAAAGGTATCTCAGTCCAATCGCCTATGGATGTCCCAAGTAAAAGCAGAAAATGTACAGTACTTCCATCAAGGTACACTTCAATTTGACAATACTATTAGTAGCTCAATTAGTCGATATTCTTCATGGAAAAACATAATATAGACAATCACATTCTTCAAACTATTAGCACTGGAATGATCTTTGGTGAGAGGACGGCATGATTTCAACTTTTATCCAAGTTATTGCATCCTTCATAGGGAAGGAGGAGGAAGCTGACATTTTAGACCATTAGAAGCTCTATTTTGTTGGACACATAATAGTTGCCAAGTTGTGTGTGAATAGTTTGTGTGATGCGTCCAAACTGATACCCTTTCAGGCTTCTCACTCACTTCTCCAGCTCCTTCATTTCCCTGTCTGTCCTGTGTCTCTACTCCTTAAAGCTCACGATTCTGTGGAGGAAAGGGGAAGTCACAATTACAGGTTTGAATACAATCAGTGTGATCATTAAAGTCTCTGTTTTATAGATGGTAGATTATCGCAGTGATTGCAGAATAATGGATGTAAAAGTAGGAAGTGGTGTGATATGTGTGTGTGTGCAAGGACGTACGTAGTATTGTGAGTGTAACTCACTTCTCTGGTGACCGGTCGGTGGAGCGCTCTGGAGTTCGCAGGATGGAACGTTCCGGGGAGGGGGGACGGGGACTCAGAGATCTGCTCAGGGGGGAGGAGCTCCGCAGTGAGGAGAAAGACACACCTTGCCTCCGCATCTCCTGCACAGCCCGCTCACTGAGGTAGAGAGACAACAAAGGCATGAGGGACAGATAGCAGCCCACAGCCTTTTCAATTACACTCAAACATTAATTTGGATTATTGAGGTAGGTGACTGATAAGCAGGGCACATAAAGAGTCATTCAGCTCACCGCTCAAAGCGCTCAGTGGTCAGCTGTCTCTTCAGCACGTCCATCTCTGTCTGCAGCTGAGAGACTTTCCCTCGGAGTAGTGAAACCTCCCTTGCATGCCCTGCCCTGCACACACAATACACACACGGTTAATCATCTTTATTAAATCAGTAAGACTCAAGATTGTGTGTAATCAGTGGGTCTGTGGAGAAGTACATTTGTTGGCTCGAGGATTCTTTAGGACCATCTCTTACGTTTTGCTGTCAGCTAGGGCGAGTCTGTCCCGCAGAACCTTCAGCTCTGACTCCCTCTCACTGGTGCTCAGATGGGTGTGGAACTCCTTCTGCCGATTGGAGGAGAGAAGTGTCTCTAGGTTACGGACAGTCAGCCTCTCACTGGCCAGCTGCTTCTTCAGCAGCTCTGCCTCCGAGCGCACATCCTCCAGCTCTCCTGTCACCTACGAGAGCAGCACAAGCCCATAGACAGACATAATGAAGGGCGGAGTCGACGCTACACAGACAGGGCACATCATATTGTTATAACTAGGGTTCCTGCAAGGCCTGTATCGCAACTTATTGGTACATGCATTGTGTGTGTGTGTGTGTGTGTGAGAGATAGATATAGTACCAGTCAAAACATTGGACACACCTACTCATTCAAGGGTTTTCTTTATTTATACTATTTTCTACATTGTAGAATAATAGTGAAGACATCAGAACTACGAAAGAGAACATATGGAATCATGTAGTAACCAAAAAGTGTTAAACAAATCAAAATATATTTGAGATTCTTCAAATAGCCACCCTTTGCCTTGACAGCTTTGCACACTCTTGGCATTCTCTTAACCAGCTTCATGAGGTAGTCACCTGGAATGCATTTCAATTAACAGGTGTGCCTTGTTAAAAGTTAATTTGTGGAATTTCTTTCCTTCTTAATGCGTTCAATCAGTTGTGTTGTGACAAGGTAGGGGGGGGTATACAGAAGATAGCCGTATTTGGTAAAAGACCAAGTCCATATTATGGCAAGAACAGCTCAAATAAGCAAAGAGTAACCACAGTCCATCATTACTTTAAAACATGAAGGTCAGTCAATCCGGGAAATTTCAAGAACTTTGAAAATTTCAAGTGCAGTTGCAAAAACCATCAAGCGTTATGATGAAACTGGCTCTCATGAGGAACGCCACAGGAAAGGAAGACCCAGAGTTACCTCTGCTGCAGAGGATAAGTTCATTAGAGTTAACTGCACCTCAGAAATTGCAGCCCAAATAAATGCTTCACAGAGTTCAAGTAACAGACACATCTCAACATCAACTGTTCAGAGGAGACTGCGTGAATCAGGCCTTCATGGTCGAATTGCTGCAAAGAAACCACTACTAAAGGACACCAATAAGAAGAAGAGACTTGCTTGGGCAAAGAAACACGAGCAATGAACATTAGACCGGTGGAAATCTGTCCTTTGGTCTGATGAGTCCAAATTTGAGATTTTTGGTTCCAGCCGCCGTGTCTTTGTGAGACGCAGAGTAGGTGAACGGATGATCTCTGCATGTGGGGTTCCCACCGTGAAGCATGGAGGATGTGGTGTGATGGTGCTTTGCTGGTGACACTGTCGGTGATTCATTTAGAATTCAAGGCACACTTAACCAGCATGGCTACCACAACATTCTGCAGCGATACGCCATCCCATCTGGTTTGGGCTTAGTGGGACTATCATTTTTTTTTCTTCAACAGGACAATGACCCAACACACCTCCAGGCTGTGTAAAGGCTATTTTACCAAGAAGGAGAGTGATTTAGTGCTGCATCAGATGACCTGCCCTCCACAATCCCCCGACCTCAACCCAATTGAGATGGTTTGGGATGAGTCGGACGGCAGAGTGAAGGAAAAGCAGCCAACAAGTGCTCAGCATGTGGGAACTCCTTCAAGACTGTTGGAAAAGCATTCCTCATTAAACTGTTTGCGAGAATGGCAAGAGTGTGCAAAGCTGATATCAAGGCAAAGGGTGGCTATTTGAAGAATCTCAAATATATTTTGATTTGTTTAACACTTTTTTGGTTCCTACATGATTCCATGTGTTATTTTCATGTTTTGATGTTTTCACTATTATTCTACAATGTCAAAAATAGTAAAAATAAAGAAAAACCCTTGAATGAGTAGGTGTGTCCAAACTTTTGACTGGTACTGTATATTAACTGTGTGTGTACATAACATAGAGATCAGTTATATGTCACACTTGCTTAGTCTGCCCAAATGAGATAATCACAATGGATAGGAATCTAAAGTAAAAGAACATGAAACAACTAAATAAGCCAAGAAGACAGAGAGATATCTTGATTATAAACTCAGCAAGAAAAGAAACGTCCTCTAATTGTCAACTGCGTTTATCTTCAGCAAACTTAACATGTGTAAATATTTGCATGAACATAACAAGATTCAACAACTGAGACATAAACTGAACAAGTTCCACAGACATGTGACTAACCAAAATGGAATAATGTGTCCCTGAACAATTGGGGGGTCAAAATCAAAAGTAACAGTCAGTATCTGGTGTGGCCACCAGCTGCAATAAGTACTGCAGTGCACCTCCTCCTCATGGACTGCACCAGATTTGCCAGTTCTTGCTGTGAGATGTTACCCCATTCTTCCACCAAGGCACCTGCAAGTTCCCTGACATTTCTGGGGGGAATGACCCTAGCCCTCACTCTCCGATCCAACAGGTCCCAGATGTGCTCAATGGGATTGAGATTCGGCTCGTCGCTGGCCTTGGCAGAACACTGACATTCCTGTCTTGCGGGAAATCATGCACAGAACGAGCAGTATGGCTGGTGGCATTGTCATGCTGGAGGGTCATGTTAGGATGAGCCTGCAGGAAGGGTACCACATGAGGGAGGAGGATGTCTTCCCTGTAACGCACAGCGTTGAGATTGCCTGCAATGACAACAAGCTCAGTCCGATGATGCTGTGACACACCGCCCCAGACCATGACGGACCCTCCACCTCCAAATCGATCCCGCTCCAGAGTACAGGTCTCGGTGTAACGCTCATTCCTTCGACGATAAACGCGAATTTGACCATCACCCCTGGTGAGACAAAACCGTGACTCGTCAGTGAAGAGCACTTTTTGCCAGTCCTGTCTGGTCCAGCGACGGTGGGTTTGTGCCCATAGGCGACGTTGTTGCCGGTGATGTCTGGTGAGGACCTGCCTTACAACAGGCCTACAAGCCCTCAGTCCAGCCTCTCTCAGCCTATTGCGGACAGTCTGAGCACTGATGGAGGGATTGTGCTTTCTGGTGTAACTCGGGCAATTGTTGTTGCCATCCTGTACACGTGGTCTGCCACTGCGAGGATGATCAGCTGTCCGTCCTGTCTCCCTGTAGCACTGTCTTAGGCATCTCACAGTACGGACATTGCAATTTATTGCCCTGGCCACATCTGCAGTCCTCATGCCTCCTTGCAGCATGCCTAAGGCACGTTCACGCAGATGAGCAGGGACCCTGGGCATCTTTCTTTTGGTGTTTTTCTGAGTCTGTAGAAAGGCCTCTTTAGTGTCCTAAATGTACATAACTGTGACCTTAATTGCCTACCTTCTGTAAGCTATTAGTGTCTTAACGACCGTTCCACAGGTGCATGTTCATTAATTGTTTATGGTTCATTGAACAAGCATGGGAAACAGTGTTTAAACCCTTTACAATTAAGATCTGTGAAGTTATTTGGATTTTTACAAATAATCTTTGAAAGACAGGGTCCTGAAAAAAAGTGAAACGGGTGGAGGATTGGGATGCAGTCAGAGTTTGCTCACCCTCTCCAGCTCCATGCTCTTGGAGGTAAGCTGGCGGGTGCTGAGCTCTTTGCTGGAGTCCAGTTTGACACAGAGCTCCCTGACGGAGGCCAGGTCAGAGAGCAGGACAGTCTTCTCCCCCCGGGCCGCCTGCAGCTCCTCCTCCAGCCGGGACATGCCCCGGGCCAGGGACGACACCTTGGCTTCATACGCCTGCAGGGCATTCATGTGCTGTAACGTGGGGACAGAACAGGGATCCTCATCACCAATTGCAACAATGCAAGTGATTTCAGTATTGGGTAGAGGCAGGCAAGCGCAGACAACATAAGTTACTGGACATTTTAAACAGAACTTAAACTCTCCCCATTTAACACTTTGCCAACAGCATTTTTCTCCGCCCACATTGCCCCCACAGTCTCACCTCCTGGATCTCTCTCTCCTGATGTCCCACAGTCTCTCTGAGGTGTCGTCTCTCCGTGTCTGAGGAGAGCAGCTCCAGGCGGATGGAGTTGTTGAGGCCCTCAGCGTGCTGCAGCTTCAGCTCCCGGTCCTCTGACTCACCATGGGCCATCTGGAACCGCTCCAGCATCTCCCTGTTCTCCTGCTCCTGGGAGACATTACTTAATCTGTTTAAAACTATTGGAAGGACTCCATAGCAACTGGAGGATGTGTACTTGGCTAAACACTGGAAAGACAGCCATTATCAATTCCAGTAGATACATACAGTTGAAGTTTTAAGTTTACATACACTTAGGTTGGAGTCATTAAAACTCGTTTTTCAACCACTCCACAAATTTCTTGTTAACAAACTATAGTTTTGGCAAGTCGGTTAGGACATCTACTTTGTGCATGACACAAGTAATTTTTCCAACAATTGTTTACAGACAGATTATTTAATGTTCACTTATAATTCACTGTATCACAATTCCAGTTGACTGTGCCTTAAACAGCTTGGAAAATTCCAGAAAATGATGTCATGGCTTTAGAAGCTTCTGATAGGCTAATTGACATTATTTGAGTTAATTGGAGGTGTACCTGTGGCTGTATTTCAAGGCCTACCTTCAAACTCAGTGCCTCTTTGCTTGACATCATGGGAAAATCAAAAGAAATCAGCCAAGAACTCCGAAAAAAAATTGTAGACCTCCACAAGTCTGGTTCTTCCTTGGGAGCAATTTCCAAATGCCTGAAGGTACCACGTTAATCTGTACAAACAATAGTATGCAAGTATAAACACTATGGGACCACGCAGCCGTCATACCGCTCAGGAAGGAGACGCGTTCTGTCTCCTAGAGATGAACGTACTTTGGTGCGAAAAGTGCAAATCAATCCCAGAACAACAGCAAAGTAACTTTTGAAGATGCTGGAGGAAACAGGTACAAAAGTATCTATATCCACAGTAAAACGAGTCCTATATCGACATAACCTGAAAGGCCACTCAGCAAGGAAGAAGCCACTGCTCCAAAACCTCCATTAGAAAAAGCCAGACTACGGTTTGCAACTGCACATGTGGACAAAGATCGTACTTTTTGGAGAAATGTCCTCTGGTCTGATGAAACAAAAATAGAACTGTTTTGCCATAATGACCATCGTTATGTTTGGAGGAAAAAGGGGTTTGCTTGCAAGCCGAAGAACACCATCCCAACCGTGAAGCACGGGGTGGCAGCATCATGCTGTGGGGTTGCTTTGCTGCAGGAGAGACTGGTGCACTTCACAAAATAGATGGCATCATGAGGAAGGAAAATTATGTGGATATATTGAAGCAACATCTCAAGACATCAGTCAGGAAGTTAAAGCTTGGTCGCAAATGGGTCTTCCAAATGGACAATGACCCCAAGCATACTTCCAAAGTTGTGGCAAAATGGCTTAAGGACAACAAAGTCAAGGTATTGGAGTGGCCATCACAAAGCCCTGACCTCAATCCTATAGAAAATTTGTGGGCAGAACTGAAAAAGTGTGTGTGAGCAAGGAGGCCTACAAACCTGACTCAGTTACACCAGCTCTGTCAGGAGGAATGGGCCAAAATTCCCCCAACTTATTGTGGGAAGCTTGTGGAAGGCTACCCGAAACGTTTGACCCAAGTTAAACAATTTAAAGGCAATGCTACCAAATACTAATTGAGTATGTAAACTTCTGACCCACTGGGAATGTGATAAAATAAATAAAAGGTGAAATAAATCATTCTGTCTACTATTATTATGACATTTCACATTCTTAAAATAAAGTGGTGATCCTAACTGAACTAAAACAAATTCTTTACTAGGATTAAATGTCAGGAATTGTGAAAAACTGAGTTTAAATATATTTGGCTAAGGTTTATTGTAAACTTCCAACTTCAACTGTAATAATCAAATTGTAATATCTACACTAGAATACAATCCTTTTGAGGGAAACATCTAGTGTGAATTTACTACTGCTGTGTAGTGTTACCACTCTTACCTTTGCAAGCATCATATTCTCTATCCTGGCCACTTCTGAGATGTAGGAGTGAACTCTCATCTTCAGCTCGTCTTTCTCATGCAAGGCCTCCTCCATCTCAGCATGCACAGCCTGGACACAAAACACGTGCAAATGAGACCCATGAAAACAGAGTGTGTATGAAATGTTTGCATCCCAATTAAATAAAGAACGTGTAGGGTAAATGTGCCCCCAAGTTAGATACGTCTATTGTGGGTGACAGAAATTAAACCAATCTAGTTTGTTCTGTTCACAAAAGCTCTTTGTTATCCAACTGTGCTCTGTACCTGGTTCTCCCTGGTCATAGTGGCTAGGTCATCCTGTAGTCTCCGGTTCTCTCTCAGGGCGATCTCTCGGTCTCTCCCCACTCCAGACAGCTCCTCCTGGGCAGATTCAAGTTGTCTGCGTAGACTGGCTATCTCCCGCTCACGGCTGCTCAGTGCCCCCTTCAGCTGACTGCAGGTACAACACAATATCACTGATCCACTCACACATATTCGGTAGACATGCCTCTCACACAAATGCACATACAACTCAAAACACAAGAGAAGAGTACACTTACTCTAGGGAGTTCTCCATGTCTTTAACAGTAAGTCTAACTTCCTCCAGGGTCTTCTCCTGCAGAATGAGAGAGAACAGTGCTTGCTCTCTGCATGACTGCCTACTCCTATAGTTCTAGTCCCTCTAACACGAACAGGCCAGTCACTGGTATCTAGTGCCCTACCCTCCTGAATAGCTCGTCCTGCAGCAGGGCCAGGCTCTCAGTCTTCTGGTCCACGTCATCCTGCAGAGTATCCTTCTCCTTGTCCAGAGCAGAGATAGTCTTCTGGAGCACAGTAACTCCGTCTCTCTGGGTGGAGCCATGGCGACTCAGCTCAGCTGAAAAAAAAACAAAAAAAACAGAACATCTCTGAATAAACAAAGGGAAACTGTGTGTAAGATATCTAAACCCTGCATCCACAAACCCTCACCTATTTTCTCCTCCAGTTTCTCCATCTGCTTGTGGGCAGCATGAAGCTCGTTGGTCTTCACAGAGAGCCTGTGCTGTGTGTCAAACAGAGACTGTTCCATCTGCTCCTGCAACAGCCTAAACATAGAGCGGGAATGAGCCATTTCCCATCACTAACAAATGAATATGACATAATGACATCACATCCATACAAAGAAAGACGGACACGACAGACAGTACCGTAGTGCGCTGGACTCGGCTCTCTGCTGGGCTGTCTCCTCTGCAGTGTGGACCAGGGCAGTGGACCGAACCTTCAGCTCCTCCTCTATAGCCACCCTGTCCTCCTTCAGCACTGACACCTGGGACCGCAGGTCCAGACGTTCCCTCTCCAACTGGGGACCAAAACACACACCATAACTCACTCTACTCCTGGTACAATATGCATGCAAGATCAGCTGAGGTGGTAATAATGGCAGAGGCAGACATGGTTGTAAAATCTTTGTAACGTGTTCGATCTACAAAAAGTAATATGATCAACTTGAACAGGATCATTTTGCTTTGATTTGGTGAGAAGGTGATCCGTCTCACAGTCTTGATGGTTTTTTCCAGGTTCAGGATCCTCCTCTCTTCCTCTCGGTCTGTGAGAGCACAGGTCTGGGCAACTTTTAGTTTCTCTCTGAGTGTGTCCCTCTCGGAGGTGATCCTTTGTAGGTCAGCATCAGCCTGCTCCCTCTCCTCCTTCAGCCTCAGGACCTCTGTGGACAGCTCTGATCCTATACGGGCCTGCCTCAGCTCCTCCTGAACCTACAGTACAGACATAGATGTACACAATGTCATAGACCAGCCTTACTCAACAGGTGGACCGCGGTCCAGATCCGCACTCAGAAAGGGGTCAATGCGGGTCCTGATTTTAAAAAAAGACATGGCACATAAGGCATGGTAAGATGTGCAGAATTGCAGGAAATTTGCTTTAAAATGGCAACATTATCTCTCCGACCCATGGCAAAATGTGTAGATTTGCACGAAATGAGCTTTAAAACAACATTTTCTCTCCGCCAACAAGAGGGGTGTGAACAGTTTGGGGTCGCGAGGTCGGTGTTCGTTACTACGCCGATAAATAATAATATTATTATAATAATATGATAATATCCATCCAGACCTTTGCCACCTAGGAAATGTGTGTGTGACCGGACAGTAGTGGTACTTGAGTGCCCCTGTCATAGACTGATAGTAGCTGCTTTCAAATACTGATCCAACTGAGGGTGTAAGATGCGTATTTGACACCTGAGTTGATAGGTATGTTTAGACTTTCAATATTTGGTACTACACTGAAGCAGTCTTTTTCATTTGATATGCCATGTCCTGGACGGGCCTGTCTCACCTTTTTGCACTGTAAACTAAGCTGGTCCCTCTCAGCAGTAAGGGCCTTGACGTTGGTTTGGATGTCTTCCATGTGTCTCTCAAAACCCAGCAGTACAGCCTGGAGCTCATCTCTCTCCTTCACTGTCCGGGAGAGCTCCAAATCAACATTGTCCACCTAAATAACACACAAAAAGAAATCCTTTAACATACATGCAAACATAATAATGGATACAAGACTTACAGTAGTACCATGAGTTTATGTATGTATATACAGTAAATGAGAACATAATGTATTCTTTGCATTAGTGGACTGGCTGGCTCTCTCACCCTGCCATGCCAGCCTGCTCTCCCCCTGGGGCTCCTGCCCCTGCCTGGGCTGCTGCGGGTGGGGCTGGGGTCCATGAGCCCTGGTCCTCTGGCCCTGCGGTAGCGCTCAGCCTCCTGTCGGTAATAGTCCCTCTCCTCTTCCAGGCTCCTGACAAATGCGTCCAGGCGAGATGGGGAGCGTTCCTTCCCACACACACCGTGTTTAGACCTCATGCTCTCCAGCTCAAGCACCAGCTCTTTATCTAGGAACAGCAACCAGAGAGTCAGTCGTGCTTAGGCCAACTATAATCAATGAGAGACATTTGAGTCCCAAAGTTCCAGTGGGACAGGAGAGAAACACTGCTACTCACCAGCATCAGTCATTTTCTCTAGTTTGTCCTGAAGCCTCCTCTTCTCTTCCTCCAGGAAGTTAATCAGTCCCTCCATCTTCTCATTCTGCTCCCTGAGCTCCCCCAGCTGGTCCCTCAGATGGTCTTTCTCGTAGTCTCCCTCAGCCTGGTCCTAAAACATCCAGTCAGAGGAGTCAGACACAGCTATGATATAGTGAGTAAAATGCTGCCCAGATTAAGCTGACCTTTAACAACTATCTGGTAAAACATGGATGTGGTACTGTAACATAGACATTCTCTAGTCATTGAGACGTTAGGTTTTTACAACAGGAACGTGTAGGCTACAAGCCTTTGTCGCTCCCTCGGGCTCGTGCAGTGGAGGAGATCTTCGTGGGCTATACTCAGCCTTGTCTCAGGTTAGTAGGTTGGTGGTCTGTTGATATCCCTCTGGTGGTGTGGGGGCCGTGCTTTGGCAAAGTGGGTGGGGTTATATCCTGCCTAGTTGGCCCTGTCCGGGGGTATCGTCGGACGGGGACACAGTGTCTCCCGAACCCCCCTATCTCAGCCTCCAGTATCTATGCTGCAATAGTCTGTGTGCTGGGGGGCTAGGGTCAGTCTGTTATATCTGGTGTTATTCTCCTGTCTTATCTGGTGTCCTGTGTGAATTTAAGTATGCTCCCTCTAATTCTCCCTCTCTCCTTCCCCTCCCGGAGGACCTGAGCCCTAGGACCATGCCTCAGGACTACCTGGCCTGATGATTCCTTGCTGTCCCCAGTCCACCTGGTCGTGCTGCTGCTCCAGTTTCCACTCTTCTGCCTGCGGCTATGGAACCCTGACCTGTTCACTGGACGTGCTACCTTGTCCCAGACCTGCTGTTTTCAACTCTCTCTCCCTCTACCACACCTGCTATTTCAACCTCTAAATGCCCGGCTATGAAAAGCCAAGTGACATTTACTCATGATGTACTGACCTGTTGCACCCTCTACAACCACTGTGATTATTATTTGATCCTGCTGGTCATCTATGAACGTTTGAACATCTTGGAGAAAAATCTGACCTTTAATGGCCATGTACTGTTATGATCTCCACCTGGCACAGCCAGAAGATGACTGGCCACCCCTCAGAGCCTGGTTCCTCTCTAGGTTTCTTCCTAGGTTTCTTCCTTTCTAGGGAGTTTTTCCTAGCCACCGTCCTTCTACATCTGCATTGCTTGCTGTTTGGGGTTTTAGGCTGGGTTTCTGTATAGCACTGTGACATTTGATGATGTAAAAAGGACTTTATAAATAAAATGTGATTGATTGAAGCCTTTAAAAGACCAATAAATAAAAAGTAATACCCTTCTTAACTTTGTGATTACATCTTCCAAGTCTCTGTGTTGCTTTTGGATTTCTTTCTGTGGAGAAAAACAGGCCACAGATTTCTTGTCAAATTTTTTTCACTCATATTGAAAATTCCCCCATTTCTCCTGTTCCCATTTATAGTCTCCCTCCTTTCTCACCTTGGCCTCCTGTAGTTCCAGGTCAGCAGTCTCCAACACCAGGTCCTTGTCCTTCTCCAGCTGCTTGGCCAGGTGGTCTATGTGGGTGAGCTCCTGACACAGCTCCTGGTTCTTGGCACTGAGGTCCGCCACCTCAGTGGAGGCATCCTTCTTCCTCTGCTGCAACCCCTGAACCTTCTGCTCCAGAGTCCTGTTAGTCTCCTGCAGGTACTCGATCTGGGAACACGACACCGAGAGGTCAATGTGTGGTAAGTGCTCAAAGGACTCTTAAAAACCCTGGGTTGATGGTTGTTGGTGTCGACAGATACAAGTAAGTTATGTGTAGTCAGTTTCAGTTTGAGGGTAGGTTGTGGAGATCAGTTCAATGTGTGGGTAATACCCATTGTTGAAGTGGGTCAGGGTTTGGTTTTTACCTGCAGGTTAAGGTGGGCAATCAGTTTCTCATTGCTGATGGTCTGAGCCTCTAGGGAGATGACATCATGAGGACGCCCTCCATCAAGTGCTCGACTAAGACGCACAATCTCCTTGTCTCGTTCTTCAACCTGTATGTGCAGGTGTTTGATACCGCCATGAGATCTTTCAAGGTCTAATTTCAGTTTGGTTATGTCCTGCTGCAGCTCCTGGATCCTAGAGTAAAATTCATTGCAGTTATTACAAGGGGTGTAACGGTACACATATTTGTACTGAATCGGTTGGGAGGGGGGCGTATAAATATATATACAGTTAAAGTCAGAAGTTTACATACACTTAGTCAAATACATTTAAACTCAGTTTTTCACAATTCCTGACTTTTAATCCTAGTAAAAAGTCCCTGTCTTAGGTCAGTTAGGATCACCACTTTATTTTAAGAATGTGAAATGTCAAAATAAATTGTAGAGAGAATGATTTGTTTCAGCTTTAATTTTTTATTTCATCACATTCCCAGTGGGTCAGAAGTTTACATACACTAAATTAGTATTTGGTAGCATTGCCTTTAAATTGTTTAACTTGGGTCAAACGTTTTGGGTAGCCTTCCACAAGTTTCCCACAATAAGTTGGGTGAATTTTGGCCCATTCCTCCTGACAGAGCGGGTGTAACTGAGTCAGGTTTGTAGGCCTCCTTGCTCGCACACGCCTTTTCAGTTCTGCCCACAAATGTTCTATAGGATTGAGGTCAGGGCTTTGTGATGGCCACTCCAATACCTTGACTTTGTTGTCCTTAAGCCATTTTGCCACAACTTTGGAAGAATGCTTGGGGTCATTGTCCATTTGGAAGACCTGACTGCTGTCTTGAGATGTTGCTTCAATATTTCCACATAATTTTCCTTCCTCATGATGCCATCTATTTTGTGAAGTGCACCAGTCCCTCCTGCAGCAAAGCACCCCCACAGCATGATGCTGCCACCCCCGTGCTTCACGGTTGGGATGCTGTTCTTCTGCTTGCAAGCCCCCCATTTTTCCTCCAAACACGATGGTCATTATGGCAAAACAGTTCTATTTTTATTTCATCAGACCAGAGGACATTTCTCCAAAAAGTACAATCTTTGTCCACATGTGCAGTTGCAAACCGTAGTCTGGCTTTTTTATGAATGGATGAACCAGACTTGTGGAGGTCTACAATGTATTTTCTAAGGTCTTGGCTGATTTCTTTTGATTTTCCCATGATGTCAAGCAAAGAGGCACTGAGTTTGAAGGTAGGCCTTGAAATACATCCACAGGTACACCTCCAATTGACTCAAATTATGTCAATTAGCCTATCAGAAGCTTCTAAAGCCATGACATCATTATCTGGAATTTTCGAAGCTTTTTAAAGGCACAGTCACCTTAGTGTACGTAAACTTCTGACCCACTGGAATTGTGATAAAGTGAATTATAAGTGCAATAATCTGTCTGTAAACAATTGTTGGAAAAATTACTTGTGTCTTGCGCAAAGTAGATGTCTTAACCAACTTGCCAAAACTATAGTTTGTTAACAAGACATGTGTGGAGTGGTTGAAAAACGAGTTTTAATGACACAAACCTAAGTGTATGTAAACTTCAGACTTCAACTATATATATAAAAATATACATAAACACCACTACCGTTCAAAAGTTTGGGGTCACTTAGAAATGTCCTTGTTTTCGAAAGAAAAGCAATTTATTTGTCCATTAAAATAACATAAAATTGATCAGAAATACAGTGTAGACATCGTTAATGTTGTAAATGGCTATTGTAGCTGGAAACGGCTGATTTTTTATGGAATATCTACATAGGCGTACAGAGGCCCATTATCAGCAACCATCAGTCCTGTGTTCCAATGGCACATTGGGTTTGCTAATCCAAGTTTATCATTTTAAAGGCTAATTGATCATTAGAAAACCATTTTGTAACTATGTTAGCACAACTGAAAATGGTTGTGCTGATTAAAGAAGCAATAAAACTGGCCTTCTTGAGACTAGTTGAGTATCTGGAGCATCAGCAATTGTGGGTTCGATTACAGGATCAAAATGGCCAGAAACAAATAACTTTCTTCTGAAACGCGTCAGTCTATTCATGTTCTGAGAAATGAAGGCTATTCCATGCGAGAAATTGCCAAGAAACTGAAGATATCGTACAACGCTGTGTACTACTCCCTTCACAGAACAGTGCAAAGTGGCTCTAACCAGAATAGAAAGAGGAGTGGGAGGCCCCGGTGCACAACTGAGCAAGAGGACAAATACATTAGAGTGTCTAGTTTGAGAAACAGGCGCCTCACAGGTCCTCAACTGGCAGCTTCATAAAATAGTACCCGCAAAACACCAGTCTCAACATCAACAGTGAAGATGCGACTCTGGGATGCTGACCTTCTAGGCAGAGTTGCAAAGAAAAAGCCATATCTCAGAAGATTAAGATGGGCAAAAGAACACAGACACTGGACAGAGGAAGATTGGAAAAAAGTGTGATGGACAGACAAATCGAAGTTTGAGGTGTTCGGATCACAAAGAAGAACATTTGTGAGACGCAGACCAAATGAAAAGATGCTGGCGGAGTGCTTGATGCCATCTGCCAAGCATGGTGGAGGCTTGTACAGGGTAATAGGGATCTTGAAGAGGGAAGGCTATTACTCCATTTTGCAACGCCATGCCATACCCTGTGGACGGCGCTTGATTGGAGCCAATTTCCTCCTACAACAGGACAATGACCCAAAGCACAGCTCCAAACTATGCAATAACTATTTAGGGAAGAAGAAGTCAGCTGGTATTCTGTCTATAATGGAGTGGCCAGCACAGTCACCGGATCTCAACCCTATTGAGCTGTTGTGGGAGCAGCTTGACCGTATGGTATATAAGAAGTGCCCATCAAGCCAATCCAACGTGTGGGAGGTGCTTCAGGAAGCATGGGGTGAAATCACTTCAGATTACCTCAACAAATTGACAACTAGAATGCCGAAGGTCTGCAAGGCTGTAATTGCTGCGGAGGATTCTTTGACAAAAGCAAAAAGTTTGAAGGACACAATTATTATTTATATTAAAAATCATTATTTCTAACCTTGTCAATGACTACATTTCCTATGCATTTTGCTATATTTCCTATTCAAACTCATTTCATGTATGTTTTCATGGAAAACAAGGACATTTCTAAGTGACCCCAAACTTTTCAACGGTAGTATGTATGTATGTACGTATGTATGTATATATAATAATAATAATAATAATAATAATAAATAATAATATAATATGCCATTTAGCAGACGCTTTTATCCAAAGCGACTTACAGTCATGCGTGCATACATTTTTGTGTATGGGTGGTCCCGGGGATCGAACCCACTACCTTGGCGTTACAAGCGCCGTGCTCTACCAGCTGAGCTACAGAGGACACACACGGAAAGTATTCAGACCCCTTTACTTTTTCCACTTTGTTACATTACAGCCTTATTATAAAATGGATAAAATAAATAAAAATCCTCAATCTACACACACACACACAACACCCCATAATGACAAAGCGAAAAAACAGAAATAACTTATTTACATAAGTATTCAGACCCTTTGCTATGAGACTCGAAATTGAGGTCAGGTGCATCCTGTTTCCATTGATCATCCTTCAGATGTTTCTACAACTTGATTGGAGTCCACCTGTGGTAAATTCAATTGATTGGACATGATTTGGAAAGGCACACACCGGTCTATATAAGGTCCCACAGTTGACAGTGCATGTCAGAGTAAAAACCAAGCCATGAGATCGAAGGAATTGTCCGTAGAGCTCTGAGACAGGATTGTGTCGAGGCACAGATCTGGGGAAGGGTACCAAAAACGTTTTCCACCATTGAAGGTCCCCAAGAACACAGTGGCCTCCATCATTCTTAAATGGAAGAAGTTTGGAACCGCCAAGACTCTTCCTAGAGCTGGCCGCCCGGCCAAACAGAGCAATCGGGGGAGAAGGGCCTTGGTCAGGGAGGTGACCAAAAACCCGATGGTCACGCTGACAGAGCTCCAGAGTTCCTCTGTGGAGATGGGAGAACCTTCCAGGACCTCCCACCAATCAGGCCTTTATGGTAGAGTGGCCAGACGGAAGCCACTCCTCAGTAAAAGGCACATGACAGCCCGCTTGGAGTTTGCCAAAAGGCACCTAAAGGACTCTCAGACCATGAGGAACAAGAGTCTCTGGTCTGATGAAACCAATATGAAGCATGGTGGTGCCAGCATCATGCTGTGGGGATGTTTTTCAGTGGCAGGGACTGGGAGACTAGTTAGGATGGAGGGAAATACGAACGGAGCAAAGTACAGACAGATCCTTGATGAAAACCTGCTCCTGAGCGCTCAGGACCTCAGATTGGGGCGAAGGTTCACCTTCCAACAGGACAACGACCCTAAGCACACAGCCAAGACAATGCAGGAGTGGCTTCGGGACAAGTCTGAATGTCCTTGAGTGGCATTCAGACTCTGGAGAGACCTGAAAATAGCTGTGCAGCGACGCTCCCCATCCAACCTGACAGTGCTTGAGAGGATCTGCAGAGAAGAATGGGAGAAACTCCCCAAATACAGGTGTGCCAAGCTTATAGTGTCATACCCAAGAAGACGAGGCTATAATCACTGCTAAAGGTTCCTCAACAAAGTACTGAGTAAAGGGTCTGAATACTTATGTAAATGTGATATTTCAGTTTTTTGGCAATAAACTCTAAAAACCTGTTTTTGCTTTGTCATTATGGGGTATTGTGTGTAGATTAGAGAGGGGTAAAAACGATTTAATCTATTTAAGAATAAGGCTGTAACGTAACAAAATGTGGAAAAAGTCAAGGGGTCTGAATACTTTCCGAATGCACTGTACACACACAAACACTTTTTCCATGACATAGACTGACCACGTGAATCCAGGTGAAAGCTATGATCCCTTATTTATATCACTTGTTAGATCCACTTCAATCAGTGTAGATGAACGGGAGGAGCCAGGTTAAAGAAGGATTTTTAAGCCTTGAGACATGGATTGTGTATGTGTGCCATTCATAGGGTGAATGGGCAAGACAAAGGATTGAAGTGCCTTTGAACTGGGTATAGTAGTAGGTGCCAGACACACCGATTTGTGTCAAGAACTGCAACGCTGCTGGGTTTTTCAAACAATAGTTTCCCGTGTGTATCAAGAATGGTCCACCACCCAAAGGACATCCAGCCAACTTGATACAACTGTGGGAAGCATTGGAGTCAATATGGGCCGGCATCCCTGTGGAACACTTTCGACACCTTGTAGAGTCCATGCCTCAAAGAATTGAGTCTGTTCTGAGGGCAACTCAATATTAGGAAGGTGTTCTTAATGTTTTGGACACGATCAATAGATTAGATAGAGAGAGAGTCAAATGTGCTGCTTTGTATGCCTCGAGTAAATCTCTGCTGAAAAATTAAAACAATTCAGGCTATTACAAGAGCGATAGGTATGTTTATAGCCGCGGATATGCGGCCATTCTCGATGGTTGAGAATATGAACTTCCCTCTAGCACCCATTTCAGCAAAAAGGTATTACACACTCAATAGCCTATAAAGCAAGCCAAAGCCAAAGTTATCAATGACTTGGCCAATGCACCCTGTGTTGCACTTCCTACAGATGGATGGACCTCCAGGGATACAGAGAGCTACTTAATTGACAGCCACATTAAATTAGCCCACCCAACTACCTCATTCCCATATTGTTATTTATTTTGCTCCTTTGTACCCCAGTATCTCTATTTGCACATCATCTCTTGTACATCTATCTATCATTCCAGTGTTAATACTAATTGTAATTATTTTGCACTATGGCCTATTTATTGCCTTACCTCCATAACTTGCTACTTTTGCACACACTGTATATATATTTTATATTTTCTGTTGTATTTTTGACTTTATGTTTTGTTTTACCCCATATGTAACTCTGTGTTGTTGTTTTTAAATCGCACTGCTTTGCTTTATCTTGGCCAGGTCGCAGTTGTAAATGAGAACTTGTTCTCAACTGCTTACCTGGTTAAATAAAGGTTAAATAAAAAAAATAAAAAATACCCCTGAGTGGGAGATAAGAAGTACTGCGCTACAGACACGCCCCCTTTATGAGAGTCACAAGTGCACATCTTTTTCTCTTTGTAAGAAGACATTATAGCATAAGCCTATACAATGTCTGAGCCATGTTTACATATTGATTTCACATGCATTTGCACTTTATTTTAGTGTTGTTGTTGAGTAATTGTGCAAATATCCCTTTGATGCATCTTGATGTGAATTGCATTACCATATTATTTATTTTTACTTTGTTAATATGATTAATAAAATACTAAATTAATTGCTTGCAAGTAATTAAACAGCTACAAGGAGGATCCCACCTGTCATCTGCCACCTGCAGAAGATCTGCGATGTATGGATCATCAGGCTGCGCCACAGGTTGAGTGGGGCCAGAGGAGGGCGGGATGAGCTCATCAATCTGCATCCGTTGACGTCTGAAAGGAATGCTGTGCTTTTTCCCTCCTGTCAAATCAGCATGGAACATTAAGGGAAACATCCTGGTCAACTGGTGTGTGGTTGGATAGAGACTGGATGTACACATGTTAGAAAAACAGGGCATGTAGCGGTGCTCTAGCTTAAGAACTTGAGTGAATAACTTGTGGGTGAGTAAGAAGTATGAGGTGTATGCCAGTGGATGTTGGGTCTATGTCCTACCTGGTGTCTGCACCACAGCCTGCATGTTCTTCTCCTGCAGCTGCTGAATGCGCTCCGTTTTGGCCTTGCTGTCCTTCTCCAGGGAGCGGACCTTGTGCACATACTGGTTGTTTAGGAACTTCAGGTCTGATGTCTCATGGTCCAGCTTTCTGATGTAGGCTTTGAGCTCTGAGACAAAGGGCAGTGACACGTTTCATATCAAAATATATGTATTGCCATTGATAACAGAATTAGTTAAAATGAATGGGTTAGACCGGTTATTTCTGTTATGAGAGGACAGTGGGATTCATATAGGAATGGACTGCTGCTTCACTGAATGATATTGTGTGGACTTATACCTCTGCTTACTCGGTCTTTCTCCTCCCTGAGCTTGAGGAGCCCAAGGTGCAGCTCGTTGTTCTCCCGGACCAGCCGGGCATTCTCCGTCTTGTATGGCTCCAGGAGGGCATCTAGATTACGGCTTTCTTTTTCAGTCTTCCCTGCATTGAGCTTGGCATTGCGCAGACTTTCAGTGGTGTGGACCAGATCACTGCAATATAGGCAGAAACACACAAACCTCATTCAGAGTAACATGGGAAGCAACAACATGTTAATATACAGTATCTCTCTATATAACCGGTAATTGACTATCATGGTCTCAGAGGTTAATATGTCTTTACCTGAATAATTTTTCCACCAGTGGCAGGGTCTCGATTCCTAATGGCTGTCTGTATCCCAGCTGATCCAGACGTTTCCGAAGGTTGATAAACTTCCTCTCTGCATTGGTGCTCATTGCTGCAGCAGCCTACAATGCAGGACATAGCAAAGATTCGTAGCTAGCATCTCCATCTGTGGTTATACCTAGTTTATTTGCTGACTATAGTTTATTGACTAGATAGCTAGCCAGTACTATTGGACTAGCCCAAGATGGACTGGTAGTGCATTGACAGTCAATGAAATGGGGTACTATTGGACCAGAGCAAGTAGCTAGCTCATTAATCTCGTCAAGCTGGAGCTAGCTAGCTAAATCGTTCAGGCCAGGTAAAGTTATGGCAAAAGGGCAAACAGGATTTCACTGACAGTCTAGCTTGCTATAGCTATACAATTATAATATATATATATTCTTGCCAGTAAACTTTAATTAGTAGCTAAATTATACTCACAAATCCACGGTCCGGTTAGCTAGATAGCTAAGTTAGCTAATCAGCTGTGATTGTTGACCTGACTTCTGTAAACAAAGTTATCGAACAAACAACGCTGAAAAGACTGCATGGGACGCTCACGTATGTGCCATGTGGAACACTTTGTAGAGGTTTGCGATGGTGGTCTCTTTTGTGGTCAGTCAGTGCATGGATTTTCATGAATGCAAAGCTGTCGTTCGGCTCGCCCTGATCTGAACTAGCTAGCTAGCTTGTTCTCTGTCGGCGGTAAAGTGGTTTGAAAATGGCGCCGAAGCACATCCCACTTCACTTTAACTTCTCCATGGAAACGAGACACATGTCATCTGAACCTGTGCTAGTGAACATCTCCGAATTCTCCAACGATTCAGTAGTAGCCTACACTCGTGAGAACGCACAACCTTTCAGTTATACCTTGCAGTTGTCACTACAGAATGAATGAGCTCAGTGCTTCTAATCTAATGCCAACTATAAAATAGAAATACATGTTTAAAAAATCCAAGGAAAATGGGACATTTTAACATTTATTTGGCAATATGGCATTCTGTTGAAAAGTTTGCAATCACACATGGCTTAACAGAACAAAAAGATTCCAGTAGAATACTGACATTCTGTGACTCTACAAAGTCAAAGACATCAGTGTGATCAAAGAGGGCTTTAGAATTTTTGAGCAGTACAATACAAGCTCACATATATTTGGCCCACAACCCACAAGAGTTTATCATGTACAGGTGATTTGTATTATAACAAAGAAAAATCACAGAATTGATTGAGAAATCTGTAACATTGTGATCTCTGTGCAATGATCTCTCTCACTCACACACACACACACACACACACATTTACACTGGAGTCATTTAGCAGACACTCTTATCCAGAGTGACTTACAGGAGCAATTAGGGTTAAGTGCCTTGCTCAAGGGCACAATGACAGATTTTCACCTAATCGGCTCAGCCTTTCGGTTACTGGCCCAGAGCTCTTAACCGCTAGGCTATGTGCCCACACACACACACACTTTTTACAACTGTTAATTCCCTTCCAGAATTAACTGCAGACAATTTCAACTGCAGTTTAATCAATTTCAGTAAATCTACTTCGTATTGGCCACACAGCAATGACGGATTGGTTTCAGTAAATAGTGTTTCTTCTGTGTGAGGCACTATGAAGCAATAGAGAGCATGTGTAAAGTTATAATGTGTATGTTTGTAATTAATGGGACTGGGCAATGCTTGAGAAGTACTCCAACATGTCTCCAATGGTAAACTCCATGGTGATTCCAGACCCAGGGTAGCAACGGCCAATCAAGCCTTCAAAGTGTTTGTACTGACGGATGAACTCATCCTGCATGGAGTGCCACACCACCTAGTGGAGAAATTGAAATGTTGTACAAAAAAAGACTTGGATCAACCACTGAAACAAGTGAAACTACCAGCTGTTTAGATAACAGATCTATAATATCTATCACTTCTAGATTCTCTGTCACTAACCTGTAACAGGCTCTCCTCCTCACACAAGTGCTTATCCACCTTCTTGTACAGGTTGTCCAGGCCCTTCTTCACCTCCTTGCCAGGGTACTCCTTGATAACTTTACGCAGCTCCTGTTTATTGAAAGCCAGCTGGTAGCTGACCTCCTCCTCACGCACCCCCTGGGCCACACGCGCCTCCACTCCCTCAAAGAAGTGCTGCAAAGCATAGGGGCATACTTGATCAACTGTGTGCATATTTCAATTCTGTACATTCAAGTATGCATGCCATGTAATATGTGAAATCACACATTTCTAATGTGTTATAGTTATATAACATGTACAGTATGTTACATATAAACATTAAACAAATTTACATTAGCTTTGCCAAGTGTAAACCCCCCCTCTCACATTGAGTTTCTCCAGGGGCTGGCCCAAGGAGTTGATGACGTAGGACTGCAGGTGGTCTGTGTACTTGTGTTTGGCCTCTCGCCTCTCTGTCTCAAGGCATGAGATCTTCAGGCGGGACTGTGTGGAGAAGATGTGGTGGAAGTTCTCCATCATCACCACGTCCCGGGGCGTCTTCTGACTCTCATTGGCCACTTTCTCCACTGGACACACCCCCAGCAAGACAAACACCAATCAGAGCACAGACTATCAGCCAACCACATTACTCAAAGTACACACAAAACATTCACCAATCATAATATTCGATCTTCCTGACACAGGGCAAGTATTAGACTCACCATTCATAAAGACGGCTCTGATAAGCTTGACATATGCTTTGTCCAGATCCCCTCTGCGCTCTGCATTACGGAAGATGGTTTCAGCCAGCTCAGCAAACTCCTCGAACCCAGTGACAAAGGGCAGGATGCCCACCTTGCTCTTCTTAGAGATCTTCACCTCCTCCATCTGTCTGATCTGACCAGACTGAGAGAAACAAGAACAGCTTCACACACACACCCAACAGTATGTACAGTGAGGGAAAAAAGTATTTGATCCGCTGCTGATTTTGTACGTTTGCCCACTGACAAAGAAACGATCAGTCTATAATTTTAATGCTAGGTTTATTTGAACAGTGAGAGACAGAATAAAAAAACAAAAATCCAGAAAAATATATATGTCAAAAATGTTATACATTTATTTGCATTTTAATGAGGGAAATAAGTATTTGACCCCCTCTCAATCAGAAAGATTTCTGGCTCCCAGGTGTCTTTTATACAGGTAACGAGCTGAGATTAGGAGCACACTCTTAAAGGGAGTGCTCCTAATCTCAGCTTGTTACTTGTATAAAAGACACCTGTCCACAGAAGCAATCAATCAATCAGATTCCAAACTCTCCACCATGGCCAAGACTAAAGAGCTCTCCAAGGATGTCAGGGACAAGATTGTAGACCTACACAAGGCTGGAATGGGCTACAAGACCATCGCCAAGCAGCTTGGTGAGAAGGTGACAACAGTTGGTGCCATTATTCGCAAATGGAAGAAACACAAAATAACTGTCAATCTCCCTCGGCCTGGGGCTCCATGCAAGATCTCACCTCGTGGAGTTGCAATGATCATGAGAACGGTGAGGAATCATCCCAGAACTACACGGGAGGATCTTGTCAATGATCTCAAGGCAGCTGGGACCATAGTCACCAAGAAAACAGTTGGTAACACACTACGCCGTGAAGGACTGAAATCCTGCAGAGCCCGCAAGGTCCCCCTGCTAAAGAAAGCACATATACATGCCCGTCTGAAGTTTGCCAATGAACATCTGAATGATTCAGAGGAGAACTTGGTGAAAGTGTTGTGGTCAGATGAGAGCAAAATCGAGCTCTTTGGCATCAACTCAACTCGCCGTGTTTGGAGGAGGAAGAATGCTGCCTATGACCCCAAGAACACCATCCCCACCGTCAAACATGGAGGTGGAAACATTATGCTTTGGGGGTGTTTTTCTGCTAAGGGGACAGGACAACTTCACCGCATCAAAGGGACGATGGACGGGGCCATGTACTGTCAAATCTTGGGTGAGAACCTCCTTCCCTCAGCCAGGGCATTGAAAATGGGTCGTGGATGGGTATTCCAGCATGACAATGACCCAAAACACACGGCCAAGGCAACAAAGGAGTGGCTCAAGAAGAAGCACATTAAGGTCCTGGAGTGGCCTAGCCAGTCTCCAGACCTTAATCCCATAGAAAATCTGTGGAGGGAGCTGAAGGTTCGAGTTGCCAAACGTCAGCCTCGAAACCTTAATGACTTGGAGAAGATCTGCAAAGAGGAGTGGGACAAAATCCCTCTTGAGATGTGTGCAAACCTGGTGGCCAACTACAAGAAACGTCTGACCTCTGTGATTGCCAACAAGGGTTTTGCCACCAAGTACTAAGTCATGTTTTGCAGAGGGGTCAAATACTTATTTCCCTCATTAAAATGCAAATCAATTCATAACATTTTTGACATGCGTTTTTCTGGATTTTTTTGTTGTTATTCTATCTCTCACTGTTCAAATAAACCTACCATTAAAATTATAGACTGATCATTTCTTTGTCAGTGGGCAAACGTACAAAATCAGCAGGGGATCAAATACTTTTTTCCCTCACTGTAGCAGTACGATACACAGATCAACAGACTCAACTGGTTAACCTGAACTCTACTCACAATGCACTTGTCAAAGTTTCTCTTGACGGTGACCAGCACATTGCCGAGGGTGGTGCTGAGGTAGGAAGCGGGGTCCACGTTCTGGGCCGTCCACACGTGGTGACTCATCTTCACCAGCATGTACAGGGAGTGGAAGCTGTCAATCTTGTCTCCCAGGGCGATGAGGCTGTTGAGTTCCGTCTCAATGCTCTGGAAGATCTTGTTCATCATCAATCGCACCATGTCCTTCCTGAGGAGGACCAGACGGGTGATAAGACACAGAACGACAGAGAATAATATGGTAAAAGTGAAGAGGAGGGTAGGAGAGAAGTGGACCATGAAAGATGACATTTGGACTTGTCATATTTGTTGCATGTTTAGTGCCCCTAGTACAGTGGTCACCAACCGGTCGATCGCAATCCTAATTTTTGTTGTTGTTGCACTGATGGCGGTAGGTGCACTTGATTCAGAAGCCCTGCACGGCAGGTAGACAAAATGTTTCCATTTGGAACCTTTTCATTTGTCTGAAAATTCAAAACTCCTCTTACCCAGCAGACCGGGAGATCTGTGGCTAAATCAAGTGCGCCTACTGCGCTGGCCAATCGGATAGCTCAAATCACCGTGCCTATAGCTTCCAGCAAAGTTTGATACTAGCCTACATGAGATTTCATAACTTTAAAAAACCATGACCAGAGAGAGTCTGAAGAATAAAAAAAGCAGTGCTGCTGTTTTTATGAGTGAGTGTTTTCATTCAGCACTATTACAAAACAAAACATGTGCTTCTCCATACTACCACTTGCACTGCAGCTGCAATGAATTAGTAGCCAAGTGTATCGATAGCCCTGCATTTGATTATTATTAGCAGCTCGTCATGTCTATATTAATATCAAGGAATATTTCACTTTCTCTGGTCATAGGAACAACATGAATTTGTGCATGAGGCAGACTTCATCAGCAGGTGCGACTCGAGTTTCGCCATCCGTTGGAAGACTGTGTCCCCTCTGGTCAGTCTCACCAGAGGAAAGGAATGAGAGAGCAGGGACCGTGAGAAGTGGACCCTCTGCTGCTCTCTCCCTCCCTCCGCCAAGACTAATGCCGTGTTCAAAACAACTGGGAACTCGGACATCTCCGACTTCCGAGCGTTCATGACAACTGAAAAATCGTTTTGAACGGAAACTCAGGCATCTTTCTAGAGCTCCGCCTTTCCGACCTGAAGATCACTGACGTCATGATTTGACCTCGTTGTTTTTCAGAGTTCCCAGTTGTCTTGAAAGAACCATGACCATCAGATGCAAGTAGCACCAGTCCAGTAAAATAGAAAAGCGAATTATTTGCAAATCATTTCAATTTATGCTCAGCTGTGCCTCACAAGTGCTACAACTGATCTATTTTGTTATCAAAGCTCAAGTTTTTAAATATAATATGGTCTTAGAAGAACAATATTGTCAGGCCAGGCATATAGCCAATTTGCTGTGATAATGTATTTGGCCTACTGCACAAACCTCATTCCTACATAACTGTTTTTATTAGGTTAATGTTACATTTTTTAAAGTAATGTTTTTAAAAAATCTGAGCAGTAGATCATGGCTTACTTTTTGACTGAGAAAGTGATCTTGACTCAGAAAAGGTTGATGACCACTGCCCTTGTACTATTGATGGACATTCAGAGCATACAGTAAATGTCAGTAAGAGATGAGAAGCTAGCTACTCACTCAGTCAATGACATGGAGTGTCTGTGTTCCCCTGGAGGGGGCTGTCTGGAGGACACCCCTCCATCCGACTCCTCCATTTCTCCCTGATAGAAAAAAAACGGTGGTTAATAATTTAGAAGTTACTCGTAATCTCACTTGCAAACACTCAGCCAGTCAGATTAGCATGTAATTTACCTGAGCCAGGGTGGGGTGCTGCTGTAGCTTGAAGAACTTGCTGATGAAGTCTTGTTCTGCTAGACAGAGAGGCTCCAGCTCACTAAGAACCTGCTCAAAGATCTACAAAAAGAGAGACGCCTACATCAATGGATCAATATAAATAAACACACAAAACAAATGACACATCTAAAATGACAAAGAGATCTACAAAAACCCACGGGTAGTATGTGCAATATAAAGACTGTAGTGTATGGTGGCTATGGCCCTCTCTGTGAGCATCACCTTGTCAAACTTTGTCCTGTCGGCCACATCCAGGTCTGAGGCAGACATGTTGCCCATGTCCAGCAGAGAGGAGGACTGGGAGCGCCTGCTGTTGGAGCCCTGCACTGCCAGCTTATTCAGACTGGAGGTGGAGCCCGTCAGCTTCCCAGAGCTGCCATGCAGGCCTGGGACACCAGAGGGGAAACAGTTGAAAACATGTTCTAACCACAGGCTAAATACTAGTCTGTGGAACACTGCCCTATCTATAGCCCCTGAGACCAAAGCTGCATTCACATGGACTTATTTTCAAAGCAGAGCAACTGTGCTATTAAAAATAAATAACTTTGTGGCTTCTGAAAAAGTGTGCCACAAAGCCCATGTTAATATGCATCTTTAAAACATGTTAGTTTTGCAGTAATTACACATAACATGAACAGCTGAAAACAATTGAGATAGAATAACATATGCAACATTGAAACAATGAAAGGCGTGCTCGGTGATAAAGACCATTAAATATCAATAATCTTATTATGGATGTTGGACATTCATTATCAGAGAAACTTGCTGGATACGTTGACCTTAATATATCCTTTTGTATTGTGAATGAGTAGTAGTATCCTATGCCATAAAGAATGTACATGCTCATTGTTTTTCATGTCTGATAGGTGTTAGTTTAGGTGCTCTTTAACAAGTGGCCAGTAGAATGTTCTATAGATGGCAGGTTGGGGTTACTCTAGGCAGAGGGCTGAGGGAGTCTGTAGGGGAGGAGGGTTCTGACTGAGGGGGAGGGGGTTCTGTCTGTGCAGCAGTATCAGGGACATAGTAGTGGGGAGCAGGTGGATAGGGGTGGGTGTGGGTGGCAGGTTACAGGTTACAGGGGTCGGACTGCGTGACCCATATGGGATACTTACTTTCCGTTTCCTGTTTGAGAGCACTCTCTTTCCGTGGAAGCGTGGCTGGTGGCCAGTTAGAATAGCAGGCATCAGAGACAGAGACATGTTAGGCTCATGACATGCAGCATGGGGACACGTTAAGAGGTTACAGGTCAAAGGTAACAGACTGAAATGCACTGCAGAGGCTGTGTTTGGCCTTAAGAAAGCATTTTTGAAAACAAAAGTTTTGCTCATTTTGTTTTCTGGAGAGAAAAGCTAAGACTGAAATTCAGGAAGCAGAGCCGTATACTCCTTCAAACCAAAGTTCACTAAATGAAAGGGTAGTTTTTTAGAGCATTGAAATATAAATATATTTACTTTAAATACAGTATATTTCCGTTTACTTTACAAGTAAACTTTATCTGGGGAGCCTAAACATTACAAGAGGAATGAAATCACTCATTTGTCTTAAAACACTAAATGAGTGAAGTCATACTCTGCAGTCAGAATGAGTTGTAGGATTAATTTTAGGCTCTTCATACAGTAAGCAGCCAAATAGGGAAATAACATTGAGCAAAACACCAGCTAGCAACATTGAGCAGGACAATGACATCACACTGGGACCTTTTCTAGGCAGTGAAAGCTATGACACAGGAGGCAGTACGGGGCAGGTAACTACATGTAGTTGTGTTTGCTGGGATGAACACCGTTACCAAATAGTCCTGGAATAGAGCAAGGGGAACCATGCAGAAAAAGCTGGTGATGTTACAGTACAGATGGACAAATATTGAACAGAATTACACACACTTACCTCAAAACCAAATCACATAGATACAGTACACACACACACACACACACACACACCCCAAATACAAACCATATGCAACAACCCAAGGGAAAAAAACAGGAACTAAATTGGCTAAACCACACAGCAAACTACAAGCTTTCACAGGGAAAAGAAAAGACAAACAATCACACAAACATCCCACATTTAAAGACACTCAGAGGTCTTACCAAATTTATTTCCCTTCCCCTCCTTGGTTGTGCCCGCCATTTTGATCTTCGCCACCTCAAAGAAATCTTTGATTTCTCGTTCATATAATCTGGTCATGTAATCAACATAGGTCTGAAAACGGAGAGAGAAATTCAATGAATACCTGTCTACTTGTTATGAGACACATTAAGATATTATCATAGTGTTGCTGGTGATGGAGATGGAGATGTTATAGTAGTGGTGGTAATGGTGATAACAATAGGATATAGCTATGGCAAGGGCAGTAATAATAATGATGATAATCTTGGAGAAGAAGCCACTCACCCTAGACAGGCCGTCGTACTTCTCTCTCTGGGTGTTCTTGAGCCACTCCATGAGCTTGGCGTATCTCAGCAGGTCCCTGTGCAGTGGGCTGTGTTTAGGCAGGGTCAGCTCTGCCGTGTGCTGGGAAAGCGTGGAGCTCTGGTCATGGCCCTGGATGTAGGGAACAAAGGTAAGTTAACACAGCTCATACAGAGAAACACCATCTCAAACACATACACACACAGGCAGGGAGATACTTTTTCTTGAACCCTCTTGGTCCCTTTACGGACATCCCCTGCATTCATAGGGACAGTTTGTGTGGCCCAATGGACCACTGAGGTTAGTAGTACAAGATTAACTGTTCAGATATTCAACCTCAACATTCAAATAACCTCATTGACAAGAACATCCCGGCATTTGTACCTAACATTTTCTAGCTTTTTTTCCTTTCTCAATCAATTCACTTGCTTCTAGGGCTGCTACCAAGCATGCAGACAGGCAGAAGTATTATGACATGGCACCACAGCACAGCAAAGTCACAGCAGCACTCTGACACAGGAAGGAAGCAAAGTGCAAGGAGAGCCCAGTCAATCTTCCAGTGGAGGTGGTGGAGCAAGGTCTGAGGTGTTTCTGAGGCTTTTAGACCCGTTGAGATGAAAGAGAGGAGGTTTAGCTTAGTCATGAGCAGCACAACCCATGCAGTCAGTAATGCATTTTGGCAAGAAAACAGGGGCGTGTAGATAAGTAGGAAAGGTCATAGGTTAGAGTGGAGGGGTCAATGGGGTTGCTGTGAGGGTACTACTCACTGGAAGCGACATACAGGAGGACCTATAGAACTGAGGGATGGTCATTTTGAAGTGACTGAAGTGGTTGAACTGACAGGGACAGAAAGCAGAGAGCAGAGTGGGGTGGTTCAGAGTGAGGCAGAGAGTGAAGGTCAGGAGGGCCAGAGCAGTACAGGAAGGAAACAGCACAGAGACTGGAAGAGACACGATCAGAGGAAAGAGAGCTTAACCAGGAAGTGTATGAGGACGGAAACATTTTAATACTGTAACAAGAAATGTGTACAGTGCTCTGTTATGCCTAGTATCTAGTCATAAATGTTGTTCAATATAAATCCGAATAAAAAATCTTGAGACCATGTTTAGATTACCGAGAAGTCTAGTGAAGTGTTACTGTGTTGTGTGGATTACCTGGTGGACGAACACGTTGTTGAGGTGGTTGGTGAGGCGCCGGGCGAAGGTATCTCTGAGCTCAGTGAACAGGTGCTGCTGCTGTTTCACAGCCATCAGTTTCTCATGACCTGGTCTGAGTGCCACGTTCATGCACTGCAGTAGGGCCTCAGAGGCGTTGATACAGGCCTCGATGCCTTTGGGGGAGGACAAGTCTCCATCCTGCAGGGCCCTGATGTGTCCCTTCGACAGGTCCATATAATTCTGAGGGACAGGTATTCATTATTTACATTTAAATTGTAGTCATTTAGCAAAGGGATTCCCAAACATTTTCACTCAGGCCCTCCTTCCAGCATTGGGGAACATCCTGTGCGCGCCATGTCTATTTGTATGGGCACAAGCACTGTTCATGACACAAAATGTTGCAGTTTTAAACCAAATTTTCCTACAACTCTATACATTTTTCCATGTCTAATGTTTATTCATGTGATATTTGAGTGACTCAAAATCTATTGGTTAAAAAACCTAGCTATAAAATGTTAGCTGACATGGGCTAGTTGATCTGGATATTTCTGAAGTTATAAATAGCTCTCTAAGGTATGCAATGACTGACATGACAAGAGGAACTGATGATGCACTACCCAATTTCGAAATTGCACCTTGTGCATTCTACTATTACAACTTTCAAGAGTTGAAAACCAGACTGAATTCCTAAAAATAAAAATAACCCCTGAACCACTGATTTAGCAGACGCTCTTATCCAGAGCAACGTACAGGAGCAATTGGAGTTAAGTGCCTTACTCAAGGGCAACTCAACAAATCTTTCACCTAGTTATCTTGGAGATTCGAACCAGCGACCTTTCGGTTACTGAACCAACGCTGTTAATAGCTATGCTACCTGCCGCCCCTCATCATTCAACATCATCTCATTAAACCAACAAGTCATAGAAAACACCCCATAGCTTGTGGTACTGTATCGTAATCGTACGAAATAGAGGCAAACCATCCAAACCTCATCCAAACAAACAGAAACAGGAACCCTCCCCCACATCAACCGCAGTGCTCACCACCAGAAACTGGATCTCGTCCAGCAGCTTGCCGTTGTTGGTGTTGCTGATCTGGATGAGGCGGTTGCTCTGGGAGATCTGGTCCATCTGCTCCTTGACGCTCTGCAGCATCTCCTCATAGCTGCTCAGCTTGCCCTCAATGGTGTCCACCTCCGAAAGAGCCTCGTCAAGCAGCTGCATCAGGATGTTCACCTGCTTCTCAGATGCCATGATGGACTGGATGTTGGCCTGGGATTGGGGGGATTATTGGAGGTGGTCACTTTAACCACAATGTTCATCCATCACGGTGAAAGAAACCACTCTGTAATGTGCTCAATCATAGATCACAAAGGACAGTAGTCAGTGCATGTCAGGCAACTCAAGTCTAAATTGCCCTCAAGAAGACCCAAGGCTCCATGGCTGTCTACTTACCCCATCCAGAACCTGTAGCTCCCTGGAGAGTTTCTCAGCGAAGGCCTCTGCATTAGAGATGGCATACTCGCACACCTCCATCATGCCTTCAATGTCTTGCTCCTCACGGGCATTCAGCTCTTGGTAGTCATCCAGAGCATCCTCATCACCCCCGGCAACACTCTGGCTCTCACCACTGGGGACTGACTCTAAACCAAGGACAGAGAGGATGGTTTAACATTGTGCACAGTGCATACAGTACAGTACACGCACATCCACACAAACAAACATCACCCTTCCATTTGAACGAATATATAATCCAAAACGCATATACACTACAGAACAGACTAATATTCATATAGTAACACCCATTCAACAGCCACTCACTCAATAGCCAAATAAAGCAAACAATAGCAACAGCTTTCAAAGATGTGTGCGTCTACTATGAGAATGGTGATTCAACACTATGAAATCACAATGAAGAGGAAATGGGAAAAGAAGTTAAGTGCTACCAACCTTCCGCTTTAGGAAGCTCTGGCCAGTGACAGTTTAAGAGAGAAGAGTGAAAATAAATATGTGTTAAGCCACAGAAAGCCACACCAAAGGTCAACTGACAGGTTACATAGATTTATCTGGAAACACTTCAGGTTGAGTTCAGGAGATTGGGAACAGGCAAGAAAGAAGAGTCTCATAGATGCAAGGTACAGGGACAGCAAGGGTCACTAGAAAACACACATGCTTTTGATCCTTCCCCATAGTTAGAGAGCTGTCATACCTTCCAGCAGCTGGGAACTGACATTCACAAACTCCACCTTCTTCCGTAGGTAACGCTGGTTCAGCTTCCAAATGCATGAGATGAAGGAATTCTTCTCAGCTGTGCTGCTGGCCACCCATCGATACACCTTCTCAAAATGGAGGTCAAACTCCGGGTTCTCCTGAATGACAAGAGCAGAAGAGATGCCAAATGTGAATTTCAATAAAATTAGCAGGAGGAGGATAAAGTATATGAGGAAAGGAGGTTAAAGTAAAATAGCCACTGGGAGGATGAGGAGGAGAGAGAAAGACAAGGTTCTATGAGAAATTACATTCAGGCAGTGAGAGGAAGTTGAGAAAAATCACTCTTTCCCTGACCTTGCTGGCATCTTTTGCATCCACTTCAGCCAGATCCCTCAGTTCCCAGGCCATCTGCCGTTTGTAGAAATCCCCTTTGTCTGACTTCTTCACTTTTACCACTCTCACCTGCACCGGCCTCTCTGTGGTGACTGGGGTAGAAGCATCAAACAGTTATAATAGTCTAATAATGGGGTGTAAGTGATCTGTGGATCCATTTCTGTAGCCTTATCAGTGAAATCACTGTTTCTGATGTTAAATCTCTGACAGTGGTTTTCAAGTTCTGAATGTTTACATCATTTCACTGGTGAGATAGTGAAATTAGCTGATTCATGTTAGACTTGAAAGGAATTTATGCCCCACCCGTGGCACACAGGAAGCAGTTCTTCTTCTTTTTCCCTGCCTTGCAGACGTTGACGATGCTGAGGAGACGCTCATCATTGGGCGTAAAGATGTCCCTCTGGAGGGCGTGCTTGATGGCTGTCATTGTGGTCACTGTAAATTAAAATCAGACAGACTTAATGATAGCCTGACGACTCGCACTAAATTCTTCCAATGCTCTGTCGTTCGCTACAATAAACTAACGTCCGTGCCTGTGGCGTAGCGTTTGGCCGGAGAAAGAAGTCTGGGTAGCCAGGCAAACTTAACGCAACCCTAACCTTTATATAATTCATTTTTACTGCAGGAAAACACACATCATTTTATTCCTCCCAGTGGGACACAGACTATAACACTATAATTTACAAGTACAACTATAGTATAGTACCATATGCAAGATTTGTACCTGTAAATGTTCTGACCTTCCTACAGTATACATAAACATTATGGTAAGAACGTCTGCACTGTTTACATCACAGCATTGCTGATCAATGGTGCAGTCAAAATAATTAAAGTAACAAAGGTTAGCTAGCTAGCATGATGTAGTAAGCTAGCTAACGTTAGCTAACATGGTTCTGGACGTGTCTAGCTATAGACAGCCAGCTACACAGGCCAGACAGCTAACTACATTTGTACAAAAGGGCCATTATGTTAGCTATGTCGTTCTGCAAAGTGAGGACAGTGTCATTCAGACAGCTAGCTAGCTGTCTAGAAAAGCATGACAGCTGCAAGCCATTCTTCCTGGCTAACTGCTAGGTTAGCTAGCAAAATTGTTAGGCTAGCTTGGTGTCTTATACAGAACACACTTACCTTAAATGCGATGTTGATAGAGAATATAATGTACTAGGTATGTTCTGCACTTAATCACTGTTTATTTCCATTTAAACGTGATATGTTTTTTATCGCTATTAAAGAAAAATAGTAAACAATCTTCTCCACTGCTGTGAAACAGGCAAGAATAACTAAGTACTTCCGGGTCACGTATTTTTGGAATCCTTCAGAATAAGAGTCCCGTTCTGTATACTTTAAATAATGAGGGTGAAAATGATGGAAAATATGCACAATTATCTCTATATTTATACTAGTTATCATACAAATAATAATTAAAAGTATTTCTATGAAATATTATATTATTTTAAAAAAGAAAAACATTCAAGCCTAAATGGTCAACAATGTTTTTAGTTTGTGTACTCATCATTTATTGCACTGTACCAATTTTCTGTACATTGTGTCGCAGTAAAAGGGGGTCCCTTCTACTCAGGAGGACTTCTAGTTTCCAAATCCATAGAGTTTACACCCAGAGGAGTTCATTTTGCGGCCCTTAAAGAGTGGCCATAAGCTTAAATCCAATAGTTTTTTTCATATTGGACATACATATTGCACCGTACACCATTGTTTGTACGTTGTGTCGCAGTAAAAGGGGGTCCATTCTACTCAGGAGCACTTCTATACTGACCAAAAATATAAACACAACATGTAAAGTGTCAGTCTCATGTTTCATGAGCTGTAATAAATGATCTCAGAAATGTTCCATACACACAAAAAGCTTATTTCTCTCAAATTTTGTGCACAAATTTGTTTACATCCCTGTTAGTGAGCGTTTCTCCTTTGCCAAGATAATCCATCCACCTGACAGGTGTGGCTTATCCAGGCACTTGTCATCTCCCGTCTGGATTACTGCAACTCGCTGTTGGCTGGGCTTCCTGCCTGTGCCATTAAACCCCTACAACTCATCCAGAACGCCGCAGCCCGTCTGGTGTTCGACCTTCCCAAGTTCTCTCACGTCACCCCGCTCCTCCGCACACTCCACTGGCTTCCAGTTGAAGCTCGCATCTGCTACAAGACCATGGTGCTTGCCTACGGAGCTGTGAAGGGAACGGCACCTCCGTACCTTCAGGCTCTGATCAGTCCCTACACCCAAACGAGGGCACTACGTTCATCCACCTCTGACCTGCTGGCTCCCCTACCTCTGCGGAAGCACGGTTCCCGCTCAGCCCAGTCAAAACTGTTCGCTGCTCTGGCACCCCAATGGGGGAACAAGCTCCCTCACGACGCCAGGACAGCGGAGTCACTCACCACCTTCCGGAGACACTTGAAACCCTTACCCCCACCCCCCCCCCCCCCAAAAAAATAAAAAATAACTATTGTAAAGTGGTTGTCCCACTGGCCATCATAAGGTGAATGCACCAATTTGTAAGTCGCTCTGGATAAGAGCGTCTGCTAAATGACGAAAATGTAAATGTAAATGTAAGTTGATTAAACAGAATGATGATTACACATGTGCACCTTGTGCTGGGGACAATAAAAGGCCACTCTAAAATGTGCAGTTTTGTCACACAACACAATGCCACAGATGTCTCAAGTTTTGAGGGACCGTGCAATTGGCATGCTGACTGCAGGAATGTCCACCAGAGCTGTTGCCAGATAATTGAATTATAATTTCTCTACCATAAGCCGTCTCTACCAACGTCGTTTTATAGAATTTGGCAGTATGTCCAACCGACCTCAACTGCAGACCACATGTAACCACGCCAGCCCAGGACCTCCACATCCGGCTTCTTCACCTGCGGGATCGTCTGAGACCAGTCACCCGGACAGCTGAATTTCTGCAGAAACCGTCTCAGGGAAGCTTATCTGTGTGCTTGTTGTCCTCGCGAGGGTCTTGACCTGACTGCAGTTCGGCGTCGTAACCGACTGATCATCTCTATGCAAAAGAGATGTGTCACACTGCATGAGGCAAATGGTGGTCACATCAGATACTGACTGGTTTTCTGATCCACGCCCCTACCTTTTTTAAGGTATCTGTGACCAACAGATGCATATCTGTATTCCCAGTCATGTCAAATCCATAGATTAGGGCCTAATGAATTTATTTCAATTGACTGATATTCTTATATGAACTGTAACTCAGTAAAATCTTTGAAATTGTTGCATGTAACGTTTATATGTTTGTTCAGTGTAGTTTCCAAATCCACAGAGTTGACACTGAGAGGAGCGTCACTCATTCTACAAACAAAGAATAGGTTTATTCAAAAGTCCAGAGAGATACATTTGGTCAAGAAAGCATATTTTATCTATAACAAATATCACAATGAAGTTAATTAATCAAATTGCTCATCAACAGTAAAACAGAAGTTTCAAATTATATGCAAGATCCTCTTCATCCAGCCCACTGGGCACAAACTGATTGAATCAACATTGTTTTCACGTCATAAAGTAAAACATCTATGTGATGATTGGGGCGATTCTAACCTGTAGCAACATGATCTTACTAGGATACTGCTTCAAAACATTTATTTTATTTGTCTAGCCAAAACACTTGACCTGATGCACGTTTTGGCACATCAGATTGCCTGGGCGGCAGGTAGCCTGGCGGTTAGAGCGTTGGGCCAGTAACCGAAAGGTCGCTGGTTTGAATATCCGAGCCGACAAGGTGAAATATCTGCTGATGTGCCGTTGAGCAATGCACTTAACCCTAATTTGCTTCAGGGGTGCTGTAATACTATGGCTGAGTCTGTAAAACACATTTCACTCACCTTTCTGGTGTATGTGACAATAAAACATTTAGAACGCGTTTCCACTGCTCCAGAGTCCAATGGCGGCAAGCTTCACACCTCTCCATCCGACGCTTGGCGTTGTGCATGGTGATCTTAGGCTTGTGTGCGGCTGCTCGGCCATGGAAACCCATTTCATGAGGCTCCCGATGAACAGTTCTTGTGCACTGTGTGTGCTCCTCTAAGACCTATCAGCCTTGACCTGCTGAAAACCCCCCAAAATTGAAACAACAAGGCTTTATAAACATCATACTAGGTGTGTTGTTTTTTGTTTGAAAAACCCAATTTGAAAAACAACAACCACAAATAGCCAGGCCTCACTTGATTTGGTAGCTCACTTTAATGACCTAAATACTGCCTAACTTCACTACTGCTCCCCCTAGCCCTGGGCAACATTCCAATGAGATGAGCTAATCTCTTTCTCCTGGTTATAATCTAAATATGGTAGTACACACAAAACATGATACAGATATCCCCAGTCTTAACCCATCAATAATTGTTTGTATCAATCTAATTCCTCATAACTAATCCATAAAACCACTCAAAATTCCTCGAGTATACAATGATTATTTAATTGATTACCCTAACTCTGCTACATGTGATCTCATCTCAAATGATCCAATATCAATTATTTGATCAACCCCCTAGGAAAATCTGTCTCTGTCATATTTCAGTTTTTAGCCAATATAATCACGGTTACATCAAAAGTAACACCACTGGCGTCAAGCAACCCATCGAATAAAGTAATAACAATTATAATGTATCTAAGCACTTCCTTCCAGTCAAGCATTCAGACCTCCACTTGAAATCCCACAGCTCAACCCAACTCGCTTGACTGTCTCTATTATTATATATTTTTCTCCCGCTAACCAGAGCCATAAATTACTCTCCTTTGTCCTCAACTCAATTTTCACAGCTCTATCGCCATTTCAGTTTGCTATTCAATTTCTTTAACTGTTCTCTCTGATTAGGCCCTAATTAATAAAACAAATACTTGTTATCGTTGATAAGCATACATACATTTAATGATATTCCTAACATTTGAACTACGGAGAAGGCGCGGGGACTTTGTAACATATTTTCATAGACCTTTCTAGAATACTTCTACTTAAGCTATCTAATTTAACCTTTCACGTTTCCCAATCCACATATTAATCTAGGTCTATAGCCCCAATGCGAAAGCTTTACCTACTGTCCCTACCTGTGTTAGAACCAGGGACCCTCTACATACATCGCCAGTCACTCCACACATTCTGCGATGATTTCAAAGTATGCCAAACAACAACTTCCATGTCGCACAACCAGCCACGTCATCACTCCCAACTAGCCAGCCCTTTCGTCTCAAAAATAAAAATAAAACACACTCTCAAACAGCGTTCTGCATTTACCTCTATCATCGGGTTTAAAAACTAACGTAACAACATTAACCATCCTCTATTGCTGTAGTAACATCTTGTTTGGTTCAGTTTATTTATTACGGAGTGTCCATAATACTATAATAATACATAATCAAATTCCCCTCATGCATACAGATTTCACCTTATGCCATTGAAATGCCAAATAAACCATAATAGTTCAATGGAGCCCCCTATTGGCTCTCCACTATTTATACATTCCTTCCATAACCACATTAGTTATGGTCCGATTACCCATTAAACCTTATCACATGATCAAACAACGGCACAACCTTAAACTCATATGGGGCGGCAGGCAGCTTAGTGACCAATAGTGCCGCGCCAACAACTGAGAGGTCGCCGGTTCCAATCCCCGAGCCGACCAGGCGAAAAATCTGCCGATGTGCCCTCGAGCAAGGCACCCAACCCCAATTGCTCCTGCAAGTCGCTCTGGACAAGAGCGTCTGCTAAATGACCAAAAATGCAAATGTAAATATTCTCTACTTTCTCACCCATGATGTACGTCTACGTTCGGGTGAGCAAGTTCATACGTATATATCGTCAGAAACCCACAGGCACCTCTCAAACAATCGCCCTGTGGTGTTCCCAGCCAACTCCCAGTCTTTCCTGACTCCAACAGCCACACTCTCGCTGTCTCCAGCCCCTCCCCTCGCGGCTCTCCCTTCTGTGTCCAGTGGGAACAGGCTTTGTCTGTTTTTCATTTTAGCGTTTCCAATATTCTGCCGTTATTTAAAGTACTTTAGTCTATTTATTTAAATCAAATTATTCCCACCTAATTAGTTAAAGTCGGTGCATATTTATATTTCAACGATAAACCTAATCAGTCTAATTATTTAACCAGTATTTTGCAGGGTCAAACATCAAACGTTAAATCAAATAATAAACCAAATTGCCTCAACATAATTATTTAAAACCAGTATTATGCTATGTTAAACATCAAATGTTAAATCAAATACTAAACCAAATTGCTTCAACATAATTATTTAAAA